CTTAATTTGTTTAGCTAGAAGGATTTGCCGAAAAAACCGATGCCGGTAGCAACAAAAACTGCGGGGGACTATGCGAAAACACATCTTCGCACGGACAGCCCGTGCGTTGGCCAATTATTTTTATTGCGTGGAAAGGAAAATTATCTTGTTTTCGGAATTAGGTTGTTGTGCATGTGTTTTTGCAAGCATTGAATTTTATCCGTTTATCAATCGAAATAGGCCTTAACTGAAGGGCCTTGTCTATGGCGCACTGTTTATAGATAAACTGATGGCTTTTACTGAATAGCTTCTTAATGATGCTAACGAGTTTAGTTGCCTGCAAAATTGGTTTTTGGGTCTTTCTAGAATGGCACACTAGTGATAATGGGTTTCACGCACGCTCACTGATATGCGTTTGGAGGCTGTGCATTTATGTTTATTTTAAGCTGAAAAGTGTAATAACAATAAAGTCGTGTGGATACAAGCAAAATCTTTGTTAAATGCGCAGCGCGCAAGATATCTTTTTGTCCACAGCAAGCTGCTGGACAGAACGTTTGGCCTTACTACATGGCTGCCAAATGGTGGAAACCGTATGTGCGACCGAAGGCGGCTGCTCTAGAGAAACCTGAATTACGGTGCACATGCCTAGTGGGAAATAAGTAATCACAGATAGGCAGGATCCCTGGATAGAGTGGCTTGGCGTGTGGCCTGGCATTCTGCCTCCGAGAAGTTATGACATTTAAAAAAGTAATCAGTAATATAACAAAATTTGATCGTCATCAATCAGGCAGGCACCTTTCGAGAAGCACCTGCATTCTCTCCTTCCAGGCAGCTCATTAATCAAACCCGATCACTGACCAATAGGGAAGAAGAGAATGTAGGCTCGAGTTAAATCACGAAATCATTGAGTCTGTTTTGCGATTAGCTTCCATTGCTTACTTTTGTTTCACTCCTTTTTCTGGAAGTTCGGTCATCACTTCCTTTCTTTTTTTTCTTGCCACGAATATTTAAATGTTGTTCTCCAACTTATTTCAGAGAAAATCTGCGAACTGATCGAAAATTCGATAGAAAAAAGCAAAAATGTGGACGAATCGAGCGAATGAGATGGGATGACTTTGTCCTGAAGCAATCCGACCAAAAGCACCAACAAATTGTTTTCGGTAACCAGTTCGTCTCGCGTTGGTGCACATCGTTGGACATCTGGATGCTAATTCAGTGTCGCATGCAAAAGAGTTGTTGACGGCAGCTGACCGCACGAAAAGCAAATTTATTAAAATGACTGAACGCTTTCGTGAACGGGTAAGCTTTATGGATTGTTTCCACGACACAGCGTATAATCCATGGGAATTTTACTTGTAGATCCATGTGATTGAAGATGTACAATGCTTTTGTGCGAAAGTGCTGATAGCCCCGACAGCATACAGTTACTCTGTATTTTTACTCACAGCTGGGCTTCAGCTAGTGTTTCATTACCGTCCAAATGTTTAATTTTTTTTATTGACGAAAAATGTAGACTGACTTACTGGCTAAATTTAGACGGGAAAAAGCAGTCTAACAATTCAGAGATTAATAACACTGTGTTCGAAAAATGGAGCTATGAAGAAAACACTGGGAATATGTTTTTCTGATCTTTTTCAATGATGCATTTAGAGTTTTCAATTCTCAGGTATGAATCTAACATTTTATCTTATAGTTGGGCTACTTATCCGATGAGTTCGAGGAACATTCGTCAAGCAGCCATCTTCGGTCGGTATCTCCGCATGTTCCTAGCAGTGGTACTCGGTCTCCTCGACGAACCAGCAAATCACCACGACCGCAGAACAACAGGTTTCAGTTGTTTCATTTTTTTTTAGAAAAATTGGCTAAGCGTATTATCGCAAAAGACAACATCTGGCCCTTTGTACAGGAAGCACGAAGCAGGACAGAAAACGTTGATTCCCTTTTCGATGATTATTGAGTACCAAAAGGAAAACAATGTGCTGTCGACACCAATTTGCATAGAAGTTAATTACTAAAAGAGCATACCGTACAATCGCCCGTGGGAATATGCAAAAGACGAACAATGTAACACTAAATAAACAAATAAAATCACATATATCTACATAATAAAGGTAAAAACAAAAATAGTAACAAAAATAATAATATTGGTATTAATAATGTTAATGACAATATCGATATTAATGTTAAGAATATTAGTAATAATAATGATGTTAATAATAATGACAAGGATAATAACAGCTGTAAATACTCAATTTAGAATGTTTTACAAAATACAGAATTAGAAAGGCGAAATATTTAGAGTTGAAAGTTTTAATAACTGAAAAGGAATATTTCGGCCCATTAAGTCGTACATATTCCTTCTCAATGTGCTCGTCACAGCATGCAGGAATATCGTGAAAGGTCAAGGGAGCTAACGGTGCTGAGCACTTTGCGGTCGTCCCTTGCTCCTTTGGCGGAAGGGCACATTCTCGCGCCTACTAACACGTTATTCCTTCCACGTTTTGCATTGGGTGTGAAAGGTGGATTTAGGTTGAAGTATCTCAAAAAGATCAGAGGCGTGACTCGAACTTACGTAACTGACTGTAACGAAAGACAAGTTTGCTTCAGAATAGTTGCAATAAGTATAACCGATGAACCAGTTGCAGCACAGAAACAGACGAAAACACTTCGCCGCAGTGCAATGTTATCAAGGATTCAAGACCGGATATAATTGCTTGGCCAACACCGCCTAATGCAGCAAATGGGAACAACAGCAGCAATACTGGGAGTGGCCAGGATCGTTTCTCTGAAGAACCTACAAAACTACTTTCTATCCTGAAAGTCACATCATCAAGTCAGCTTTTATGCAACAATTTGTTATTGGTCTACAGTGAATTGATAGCGCACAATGGGCGGCAGAAAACGATTGCTCTGAGCGGACACGTCTGCTGTCCTTGAGGAAACGATTATTCTCGTGCTTACAAAAAATGGAGTCTGTTATGATCGTAATGACACGATGTGATTGAGCGAGCAAGCACCGGCTACATTATCTGCTTGTATAAGGCAGAACAGATTAATAAAGTATAAGTATTGCGTCAAAGTACTAGTAGCATCGGTGTACACCAGTGCCAAACAGGAGTTTTCGCCAGGGAAGACGTCGCAACATCTGCACTATAGCCGAGAACCATCGTATCTTATATTTGGCGTTTTGTACTTTTATATTGATTGGTATATAATAATACCGTGGACAATGGGGGAATTCTGCGTTAATGTGCGCATTAAGCATTTTTTTTTTTTTTTTTTGGATGAATAAAAGACTTGTTTGTTTACCCCGCCCAACACGTCTAGTAGCCCTGAGGGACAACTGATCAGATAAAAGAGCGAAATTTAAGTAATTATTGATCTGTTAAGAATCCCTAAGTGTTTACTAATACTACAAGTTATTTTTCAATGCGCCATTAAAAAAAAAAAAAAAAAAAACATTGCGAGAAGAGTCACTCTTGACGCTACTGCAAATTCTAACCATGCTTTTGCTTTGGAGCAATCTGAGGTATTATTTCAGGTGCACCAAGAGGAAGAGAAAGCGAACTAAAGAAGAAGATACAAACACTTGAAGATACGGTCGCTGAGTATGAACGGCAAAAATACAATGTTATGGGCACATTCAGGTTAGCCTAAGAGTCACAGAACCACTGCAGATAACAAGGATTTCATCAAAAATCGGTACAGGAGGAGACGATGAATATGGACAGGGCGTTTTGTGCAAAATATGATCGAGGAAGCGTACTTGTGCCAATTTCTTCAAATGCGAGTCGGAAAATTTTTTCCATTTTTTAGGAAGTTTTTTTTCCAAGTTATTTTAGATTTGTGTAAAAAACGTGTATTTTGCCTCTCATGGCATTCTTCATATTGCAGTGAATATAGGGAACGCGTGGCGGAAAGGGAAAGGAAGTTGGAAGCAGAATATTCCAGCAAAATTATAGCACTTAGCGAAGAGGTACTTGGGGCAAAGAAAGATTTTGAAGCTCGAATGAAAAGCTTTCAAGCGCTACAGGTAATTCTGACTCTTTGAAATATGCAATAATAGCTGATTGGGTAAGAGAAGCGGAACTGATGGGTTTTTTCTCGAATTTGTTAACATTTTTACTAACAAATTCGAGAAAAACGGACTGCCAGAATTCCACCGACTGATGGAATTCTGGCAGTCCGTTTTTCAAATATACTTGAGAAATAGTATGAAAAGGATTAGATTTACATGCTCTCGCGCATCGTTCAAAATCTGAAATAAATCTGTAGGCAGTTAAGATAAAGTATTGAATTCATCAAGTTGTATATTGCCAAGCACGACCAGCTGTACTGTTGGCAGCCTAAATGCACTTTATTCCAGGATAAATTTGAGCGTGAAAAAGAACAAGCGCTTGAAAAACTGCGGCAGGAACATCAAAAAGAAATACAACTGTTGGAGCAGCGCTTTTCCGAATCACAGTTGCTTAATTTGGAACAAAAGTAGGTTGAACAAAACAAATTTGAATATTAAGTTTTTTTTGTCGTACCTGACAGCTCAGTACCCACCCATCGCAAAGGTCGCTCGCACACACTTCCAGCAGCGTTGCTCATTATCCACCAATTTTCATTTGTCCATGTACGAATACTTTTGAAGCCATCCGTTATCAGTGCAGAAGTGGCAAGTATATTTGAAAAATTTTCCAGGTATATGATTGAAATTCAACGGCTAGAGGAAGAGCGTAAAAGTTTGAAAGCAGAAAAGGAGCGACTAGGCGAAACATTCGAAACGAAACTACGTAGGGCTCAGAGTTTATACGAAACTGAGCTAACGGCTGCTAAGATGCTCTATTCAAAGGAGCTTGAGGCGTTGCGTGATCACGAAGAGGCTCTAAAGGAGGAACTTCTTGCAAGGTGAAAAATTTGTCAAATCTCGTTCTGTATATAAACAGCGATTTTTAGACACATTTTCGACCGCAGCTTTTCCAGCTTTTCTCGCGCGTTGCATTCTTCATTTGATTTTACAACTCAAATAAACATACAAATATAAACTTTTGAATATCTTTACAGGCAGGATGAATTTCATGATCGTCTGCAGGAGCTGCAGCACCAAACGAAGCGAAGTCGTGAAGAACTGGCCACCTGTAAAAACGAGGTGACTGCTCTTGAAAAACGACTACAAGTGAAAGAAGCGGAAGTTGTCGCCATATCGAAAGAGGTAAGCACTGAAAATTTTTGATTTAGATTATGAATTGCACAAAAATGTTCGAATCCGGGGCACAGCCACAAATCAAATAGTCGAAGTCCGGACGCGGATATCACATCCTTTGCTTCCAAGCTCACATTCAACCAAGAATTAGTTTTTTTTTTTTTTTTTTTTTTTTTATCAGTCGTTCCTCTATTCCCGG